CTGGTGTTCATGCTGCCTGTCAAGCTGGTAACATGCGACTGGTATTACATTACTTGAATAAACTAAAGTGCAATCGTTATTTAGAAACATACGAGTCTAAAGGTCTGTTGTATTTTGCTTGTTTGAGCGGTCACTTGGAAATGGTTCGTATTTTAATGGAAAAGTATCAGCTAAAACCAGTTGAAGGAGACATTGATGCAGCCCAGTCAATCGAAGGAGGAGAGTCTATAGTGAAATTGATGCTGAGACGGTTTTACTTCATAAAATTAGTACGAGAAATGATTAAAGAGGCAGAGAGAAGAGAAATAATGCCTATAGCTACTAAACCTCGTCCTTCATTTTTATCTTCTTAAATCCTAAACTATAATACTACGTTAAATGAATTGCTTTCTTGTAATTGTCATTATTGTACTTCATTCGTTTCGTTCGTTTTCATTTGTTTCGTTTGTTTTTGTTGGAATCGTTTTAATTCTTTTGTACGTATTACCAATTCACCACATCACACTCATTCTCTACTACACCTTCACTTCTACACAAACACATTCAATCGTTTCCTTTCTTCATTATATTAACACTATGGCATCAAATCTCTCTCTCGTTAACTTTAATACCTTCAAGAATAATGGAGACTTCTTGTTGGGTAGTTATTTTTCATTTTTGCAGCAGGGCAATTTTTTTTTCTATTTTTGATGATGTTTTTACAGTAAAGTAATGCTCAGTATTTATTTATTATTTCTATTGGTAGTTGTTATACAATATGCAGCATTATGATGATTTCCTCTGGTTTATTATTCTTATTTTTGTTATTATAAATCATTCATTGTTGTATTGTATATTATGTTGTATTGTTTGTGAGCATTAATAGTTTGTGTACTTGTTTCTGCTCCACTTTTTATTGAAATGAGATTTCTTTTACATGCCATAGCTTTTATACATTAACTTTTATTGAATGTGTTTATATGCATTGATATTACTTATCATTAGTAACACTTTTATTAATTACTATCATAACTATTTTTGTCAATGTGTGTTGTTATTATTATCATTATTGTTATTATTATTATTATTTTTTTTTTGATTTTATTATTTTTATTATTTTATTGATTTAGATAGTTCCCCCACTATCCCATTATTTTTTGACTCATTAATAATATTTATATTTACTTAAGTATATGATTAGTTGTTTATACTAATTTTTGTTGTTGTTGTTATTATTATTATTATTAATACTATTGCTGATGTTATTGATGTTATTATTTAGTAAGCTAATGAATTGAACTG